GTGTATGTGATTTCTTTTAAATATATATGCGGCTGAAAGTTTAATTCTGATCGGATTTGAGTAGTCCGTTTCAGTAATGTATCATATTGGAGTAAGTTTTGTTTAACTAAACATGCATGTCTCACAAGATTCAGACCCCCAAGACAAATAAAATACATGAATACTTCTTTAGTAGTATTAATATAAAAAGAAAGTAATAATTTTTTAGCCAATAATTGGTAACAAGAATCATTTTTTTCTTATCATAGGTTCTTGAGATATATTTCTATATAAGCATTAAGCCAACACTTCTCATATTGTCTTAAAAGGTGCTTAAGAAATTAACACCTATATCTCTGTTATTTTAAATATATATATAAAAAAACAGATGCAGATCGAAGAAGATGGCTTGCATTACATTTGTGTTTTTGTGTTCGTCTCTCTTGTTCATCGCCGTCAAAAGTCGCCCAGCCACCGGACCAAAAGTCTTCGATGTCCAAAGCTATGGTGCTAAAGGCGACGGTAAAACGGATAACACCAATGTACATGACACTTTTTTCTTTAATTTTTCTCCTAGTTAATTTATTTTCGATTTTACTAGTTTTAATTAATTCAGTGTATAAAAAAACTTAGGAAGACGCCGATAAATTATATACCAGTTTAAATTATAACCAATTTAATTGTGTACATAATTTACTATGATGAGATTAGTTCATTGAAGAGCATCATTTTGTTTTAAGATTTACTTTAGTCTCCCATCTAATCTAATAGATGTACAAACCGTATACCTGAACTCCACGGTTATAATTTTTTGTTTTGTTTTGGTAGAAACTTAAACCAAATAATCAATGTATAAACACATTTAAGTATAATTTATTTGTAGTTACGATATGGAACCTTTTTGTAACTCAGATCGAAATCTAGACTACTTTCTAGTATCCGTAAAATTCGATCTTTTTTTTATCACATAAAAATTTTACAATAACAATTTGTTTTATATCTATAAAAATTAAGATTGATTTTCAATTCGGTTTCTTTGGCAACTTAAAACATTTTTGTTCCACTACTGTAGACAATTTTTTTTTCGTCGATACTGTAGGCAACTGAAATGGTAAGAAAAAGCTTACAGTAAGATGATTCCCAACCTAAATCCACATCACAAAATAAGACAGTGGACACCATTTCTTGTTTTTGTTTGTTTGTTTTTTAATTACTATGTATATATAGAGCTATGTTCTATAATCAACGTCCTTCTTCGTTTGGTTATTAATATATAACTAGGCATTCACAAAAGTGTGGAAAGATGCATGCGCATGGAATGGACGAAGCAGACTAGTATACATACCAAAAGGAACTTTCTATCTAGGTGGTGTTACGTTCCAAGGACCATGCAAGGGTAAGATTTCGTTTTTCATCGAAGGGACCTTATTGGCTCCTACGAACAACGACGACATCAAAAAGGAAACGTGGATCAATTTCCGATACATCGACTATCTCACCGTCTCAGGTGGTGGCACCATCAACGGTCAAGGAAAAAAGTCTTGGCTACTCAATGACTGCCACAAGAATGATAATTGCCCTAAACTTGCTACCGTACGTACGATTTCTAACCCCTCTGTTTCTTATATTAATATAGAGCAAATTTAATGAAAAATCTATTTTAAAAACCAAGACTCTTTGAATACATTTTGCAGAACATGGGGTTTGATTTCGTGAAAAAATCAAGAATCCAAGGAATAACATCACTCAACAGCAAAGCGGGACACTTGAATTTCTTCTTCGTTGATCACTTTGACATCAGCGGAGTCAAAATAACAGCTCCTGGCCATAGTCCCAACACCGATGGAATTAAAATTGGTTTATCAAGCAACATGCAAATCTCAAACACTCACATCAGCACCGGAGATGATTGTATCGCAATCCTCTCCGGAAACACCAATTTCGATATCTATAATGTCACGTGCGGCCCAGGACATGGGATCAGTGTCGGAAGCTTAGGAAAAGACAAAGACGAGAGAAAAGTCGAAGGCTTAAGAGTTAAAGACACGGTCTTTACCGGTACGACCAATGGTCTACGGATCAAGACGTGGGAATCGCCGGCTTCATCGATCGTCATTTCCAACTTGGTGTACGAGAATATTCAGATGATCAATGTCGAAAATCCTATCGACATTAATCAGAAGTATTGTCCTTATCCGCCGTGCCAGAAACTGGTAACTTACTAAAGAAACTTAGTTTTCTAACAAAAGAAGTGTTGAAAATACTTAAGTTGGAAAATACGTTACTAAAAATGCTCCTTTTGCTGTTACTGTTTGATTTAAGATGTTAGATCATTACTTTTGTAGGGAGAGTCTCATATTCAGATCCAAGACGTAACATTAAAGAACATTTGGGGAACGTCGATGACCAAAGTGGCTGTGAAACTTCAATGTAGCAAAAAATTTCCTTGCAAAGATGTTAAGTTAGTTGACATTAACTTAACGCACAAAGGAATCGACGGTCCTGCAATTGCGTTTTGTCAGAATGTTGAAGGTTCTGCTTCTGGCAAGATGATTCCTCCGCATTGTCTGAATTGATCATTTTGTTGTCTTTGATATCTACGTGATTGGTGTGTATGCTCTTTCTTAATTGTGATAATATCAGGCCAAGACAGGAAGACAAGGATGCTCACAAAAAGATAGGGCGATTAATTATTTTTATTCTTTATTTTATTTTTAAGGGTCCCTCAAAATTTTT